TAAGCAAACTAAAAGATGGGAAAGCGAGGCATGTGACTTCAAAGCCATTCAGGGATGTAGAAGTAATCAGCAAAAAGGCATTATTCACGCTGATTACAGCTGAGATGGAGACATAACGCAGAACAAGCTGGCAGTGCGGAAATCTCATGATAAGTGCATCTACAGTAATTATCAGTGCAAGGAATGTCCTTTTGTGGCTATGAAGTGTTTATCTAAATAGTTGCTCTTGATTAGTTGACCATTTGTTGCCCTTATCCTGCCCTTTGTCATGTTGGCCATTTGCCTGATGAACACCGAGTAGGACTGGAAGTTGCAGAAGCCAAATGTAAAGCTATTAATATTAACTCCACCTTTAACAGCTGCAACATCAAAATGATAACATTACAATAAGGTCTCACTGATTACAATCCAATAATGTAATAAATATTATTCTTTGAAAGGCCCTTCTCCATAGTAAGTACTTTTACTTTGGCACTTTAGGTATATTTTGATGTTAATACCTTTGTACTTCTTCCACCACTGCTTAAAGCTGGGGTAGGCAAACATCTGGAAAAAGTAGAAATACAGAGTAGGCAGCAGCTTAAGAGATGGACCTTCGGTTGTAGCATCTTAAAATCAGCCAGCACAAACCCTCCCAGTGGGACCTGTACTTGCTACTGCTGGCCACCAGCTTGTATACAATGTTAATACCGTATTTTTCCAAATAGTAGCCTGGGCGTTTATTTCACAAAATCGATTTTGACCCCAGGCGTTTAAAAGAACCAGGCGGCTATTTGCTCAAGGCCTTTATTTCTTTTTGCAGCGACCTGCACCAGGCCATTATTTGGTTACAGTTCCTGTCCAGTATGTTTTTTAGTGCAAAAATACTGTATAATGTAGGGGTGAGTTCGTGTACAAAAATCTCTAAACATTAAGAGTGGGTCATTTTTTTCGTGTACACGTGTACGCAAGTTTCACCGCTGGGTGGTGCTATTGTATTATACAAGTAAAGCCCCAGTTATCCGAATACCAACCAAACGGGCCATTTAACCAACAGTTACAGGCCGCCACACCGAAATACCGCCATTCCGATGGTGCAGGTCAAGGCGATCACGGATATTTGATGTGGGAAAGATGTAGCCAGATGTATTACCTGTTTTAGATATGTGGCTGTCTGTCCGTCCGTCCGTCCGTCCGTCGCACGAGTCATGTGCACCACTTCACCACCGACCCGTGCGTAAAAGCGCAAACAGTCCCTCAAGGAGGGACAGCCATGAGGCAATGAATGAGGAAATAATCGCCCGGGCGTTTAATCGGACCGGCGTTTAATACGCAAAATGGGGTCAAACCCCCGGCGACTATTAGGTGCCCGGCGGCTATTTGCCACCGGGCGACTATTTGGAAATATATGGTAGTTCAACAAAATAAAATGATCACAAATTACACATTTAAATAGCTCCCAAATAAGGCTGCCACATTATCGACTAATCTGTCGATTATTTCTTCGATTAGTCGACTAATCATTTCATCGAAAAATGTGTTCAAATGTTGAAAAATGTCGGTCTGTCTTGCCCAAACCCCAAAATTATGTCATCTAATGTCTTGTTTCATACTCACGCCAAAGGGTTTTAGTTCACTGTCACGGGAGAGTGTGTAAAGCTGCCAATATCTGAACGTAAGAAGCTGCAGTAAGAGTATTTTGGGGCACTTTTATAGTACTTTTCTATGAAAAATGACTCAAACCGATTAGTCGACTACTAAAATAGTCACCGATTATTTTAATAGTCGATTAGTCTTCAAAATAGCCACCCTTTGCTCTGATTACTGCTTTGCACACTCTTGGCATTCTCTCGATGAGCTTCAAGAGGTAGTCACCTGAAATGGTTTCCACTTCACAGGTGTGCCTTATCAGGGTTAATTAGTGGAATTTCTTGCTTTATCAATGGGGTTGGGACCATCAGTTGTATTGTGCAGAAGTCAGGTTAATACACAGCCGACAGCCCTATTGGACAACTGTTAAAATTCATATTATGGCAAGAACCAATCAGCTAACTAAAGAAAAACGAGTGGCCATCATTACTTTAAGAAATGAAGGTCAGTCAGTCCGGAAAATTGCAAAAACTTTAAATGTTTCCCCAAGTGGAGTCGCAAAAACCATCAAGCGCTACAACGAAACTGGCACACATGAGGACCGACCCAGGAAAGGAAGACCAAGAGTCACCTCTGCTTCTGAGGATAAGTTCATCCGAGTCACCAGCCTCAGAAATCGCAAGTTAACAGCAGCTCAGATCAGAGACCAGATGAATGCCACACAGAGTTCTAGCAGCAGACCCATCTCTAGAACAACTGTTAAGAGGAGACTACGCGAATCAGGCCTTCATGGTCAAATAGCTGCTAGGAAACCACTGCTAAGGAGAGGCAACAAGCAGAAGAGATTTGTTTGGGCCAAGAAACACAAGGAATGGACATTAGATCAGTGGAAATCTGTGCTTTGGTCTGATGAGTCCAAATTTGAGATCTTTGGTTCCAACCGCCGTGTCTTTGTGAGACGCAGAAAAGGTGAACGGATGGATTCCACATGCCTGGTTCCCACTGTGAAGCATGGAGGAGGAGGTGTGATGGTGTGGGGGTGTTTTGCTGGTGACACTGTTGGGGATTTATTCAAAATTGAAGGCACACTGAACCAGCATGGCTACCACAGCATCCTGCAGTGACATGCCATCCCATCCGGTTTGCGTTTAGTTGGACGATCATTTATTTTTCAACAGGACAATGACCCCAAACACACCTCCAGGCTGTGTAAGGGCTATTTGACCAAGAAGGAGAGTGATGGAGTGCTGCGGCAGATGACCTGGCCTCCACAGTCACCGGACCTGAACCCAATCGAGATGGTTTGGGGTGAGCTGGACCGCAGAGTGAAGGCAAAGGGGCCAACAAGTGCTAAACACCTCTGGGAACTCCTTCAAGACTGTTGGAAAACCATTTCAGGTGACTACCTCTTGAAGCTTATTGAGAGAATGCCAAGAGTGTGCAAAGCAGTAATCAGAGCAAAGGGTGGCTATTTTGAAGAAACTAGAATATAAAACATGTTTTCAGTTATTTCACCTTTTTTTGTTAAGTACATAACTCCACATGTGTTCATTCATAGTTTTAATGCCTTCAGTGAGAATCTACAATGTAAATAGTCATGAAAATAAAGAAAACGCATTGAATGAGAAGGTGTGTCCAAACATTTGGCCTGTACTGTATATATAAACCAACAGTTGTTTTCCTTCTTTTTTAGCAAAATCCTAAATGATTGAGTTGGTTTTTTTCCACCAGGATCTTTATGCTCCACCATTTCTCATGAAGCATGTAGGTTTATATCACAAAAGATTTACAAAAGGTTTAATCACTTGATGACTCTGACTCCCATGTGTGCACAGCAAGACTGCTGCCAGAGGAGCCGCTGAACGAGTTTCCTCTGCAGAGAGAATAACTAGCTAAAAGAGTGAGAAGACCGGGCCTGTTCATACATTTTGGAAGCTGAGGTCAAATCAATAATAATTTTGCTTTCCATGCTTGTTGTTGCCATGGGTAACAGTATGACGTCAATATGTCAACAAGCTAAAAAAAAAATTGTAGTTTTTTGATGATGATATTAAAAAATATACCGGTATCATAATGAATGCGATGATATGGCACAGCCCTAGAGGGGAGTCGAGGCTGTCCGGTTCCCCGGAGCTGGGGTTTGTGCTGGCTGGATTTGGGTTGCTGCTGCTGCTGACTGGGAGTCCCTGTCTCTCATCTCCTCCTGGTGAGGTGGTCTTTAGCGGTGGGTTGTGAGGCAGAGGACGCGCTGTGATTCGAGGCTCTAGATAAGTTTAGGTTCATAAACTTGTGGCTGCAGCTGTGAGCTTCGGTTACCAGAATGCTAACTATTATCACCATTTTTGTCCAATCCTTGAAACCCTTCACTGATATTGACACATTTTATTTCGTTTATTGTCAGACTCTCATTTAAACTCTCTTTGTTGTAAGTCTGTGTTCCTTTTTCTGGGTTGCTTTACAGTGTAGACAAGTAAGTTGCTGGTGCTGGAATAGCAACTTTCTTTGCAGGATTCTCTGCCATTAAATCAGTCTTTCGAGGAAAGGACGTCAAAAAGCTTCTGAATTTGTGCAACAGCCAATAGGAACGCCCTCTCTGGAATAACCTATGATTGGCCAAAGTGTCCTGTCACAGGCAGTTTTTCTGAAGCCTGAAAACAGAGCGGAGAAGAAGTCCAGAAGTCCAGTGTTTCCTCTGTCCACTTCAAAAGCAACATGCTGAAAGTTTATAATGGGATTTTTGCCCGGTGATTCCAAAATGAAAAAGCTCACCCTATTTTTAAGTCTCTGAAAATACACAGCGCCAGAGTTGTGTTCACATTCAGCCCATCTTCCTACTTTGCAGTATATGTATTTAAGTTCCATAGTGAGTACAGGAGAGGAAAGAAAGGAGCTGAAAGTCCACAGTGCCAGACAGTCACTGGGAGCTGCCCAGTCAGCTGGATGGCCGGATGTGTGTGTTGGTGAGAGAAATACACCTGCTGTTTAGCCATAGACACTGGTAGTCGAGGTTAGCGGGAGCAAGCTGAGAGCTGCTGCCAGATAGGGATTATAGCTTTGACATGTGTGTGAGTGTGTGTGTGTGTGTGTGTGTGTGTGTGTGTGTGAGAGAGTGTGTAGGTGTGTGTTCACAGAAACTATTTTCCTGTCACGCAGGCCAAGGCCACAGATATTCAAGGTGCTCATACCACAATGTTCAAACATTTGTTAGCAATTAGCCTCGGCCACAAAACTGACTTTCAACAAAACACATGGACCCTCCCTCTCCCTCCCTTTTTATTTTTTTTTTCATCCTGTCCCTTTCCCAGTCCCTCCCTCATTTTCCAGTTTCTTTGTTCCCCTCCCATCTCTCTCTCTCTCTCTCTCTCTCTCTCTCTCTCTCTCTCTCCCTGTCTTTCTTACCACCCTTGTCCTTTCTCTTCATCCCCTTTTGCTCCATTTCCTCCCTCCCTCTCTGAAGTTGCACATGGTTTCTGTCTGAGAAGGTTTAGTTTCCTCAGGCCCTGGATGGGAGAGGGATGATGCCAGAGAGCTTCAAGCAAACACACATGTTCCAAAATTAAGATGAGCCTTGACCCGTTTCCTTCAGCATTGAAAGACTTGCAAGAATATCTGAGATAATCTAGAAATCAGACAGTTTTTTAGATTGAAAAGGTGCCTTTTTCTTGCTCAAATGGAATAACATCCAGTGTGGCTGAATCCGAAAGTGCTTGCTTGTTGTTCATCAAGTTTTTAAATATGTGGAAGTAAGACTTTTTGGGACTTTTGGGCTTGATCTGTCTTTGGAAAACTGGGAAATGTTTCACGAATGAGCTTGCTGGCACCTCAAAGGTACATTGCTGACTGGCTTTGTTATTCCTGGACTCTTGCTTTGTGGGGAAAAAAAGGTGAAGAGGATTGCAATATCACCACCATCAAGTTGGGCATCAGCAAACTAGACCACAAGTTGTTTGTGAAGGATTCTCAGAGGGAGGAATCATGAAAGGTAATGTCTCAGAATTCTTCCGTGTTGTTATAATGTGTTAATGAAGCACCTATACAGTCTCCTACTACATCACTCTGTAGTCATGGAAAGAAAACATTCTTTACTGATGCCTGGGTGCATTTGCTAGTGTGAAAAACACTTAAAAATGTAAACAGGAACAGTATCTGTCATTGTGGCATACAGGCAGGCACCTGCACAGGGCACCAGCGACCACATATGCTTCTCATCTGCTGTGAAACTTGGCAGTGTGGATCCTGAGAAAGTGCCGGTTTGTTGTTGTTGGACATGAGACTTTGATCAGTCAGCTTTAAATCTCTATATGTGTGTGTGGGTGTGTGTGTGTGCGCGCGCACCACAGTCCTGTTTCATAAAACATAAAATGTTCCCTGGCCCTGCCAATCTGCTGCAGATTGACTTAATATCCCCCTTTAGAAGAGGGCGAGTGAAAGCATAACATCTGAATTTGAGCTTTTTCACAACATGCCATGAAAGGAGAGCTGCCACCGTCTTTGAAGAGGGCTGGGGCTTTTACATGGTTCCCAGACATACAGTATGAGAAGTGAGAGGCTGACAGAGATGGAAGGATACAGTGGGAAAGAGGAGATAAGAGAGGGGGAGTGAGAGGGGGCAGGAATGAAACCCACATGTGGGATAGCAGCTTGAAAAATGATGTTGAGTGTTGACATATTCATTACCGACAGTAATTGGCATATGATGGACTTGTTCCTGTATTTATTGTTGTTGTTAACTGAAATCTATCTGTATTCTTTCCTCTTTTAAAACTTGGCGTCTCTTACCTTGGACTTTGTTTTGATGGCGTTTCGGTATCAGTGGTGGTGCTGTTTCATTGACCACTTGCGATAAAATCCTCATCCAAACATTATAGCTTAGCAACCGTACCTTTTGGTTAGTTTACACTCCAATAACTCCAGTTCAGCCGACGTTAGCATTTCAATTGTTTAGTCATCATCCTAGGCGCCATTTCTCTTTCATTACAAACCTTTTACATTAATGTAAAAGGTTTGTAATGAAATAACATTCTGGTCTTATATTTTTTCTTATTGTAATTATATAGTTATTGGCTCTATACTGCAATAAAAGAACTGCTGTTCTTCTAGGTAATGTTGGCTGACATGGATCAGCAACTGGTGAGGTTGCTTAGCCTCAGATGATAATTAAGATCCCTTTTGCATGGTACTCATTTTAAAATAAGTCAGCTGACAACAAAAAAGTCAGCTAAAGACTGTTTTCTAACTAATGCAAAGAGTTAGGTACGTTAGATGGATTAGCTAGCTAGGTACAGCCAAAACAATTTCCCAGCAACGGTTGTCATTTTAGCCAGGAGAGTAGACGGTTACCAACTGGAAATGAGAAGCTGCTTTTGGCTTCCTCTACTGGAAATCAAGGAAAAAGTACTCCAGTGAATTGGTGCCATGCCATTGTTCCGATGGCCCAAAATTTTAAAGCTCAATTAGTCCGGAAATTGCCCCATTAGACCAAAAGCCCAATTCTCTGACACCCCATTATCTCCAAAACAAATGGCTATGCTCCAAAGAGACATTTCTCCGAAAATACACACTCCCTGCAGTCAGTGTTAGTTTGCCAGCTGTGTTTGAGACTCTGAAATAATGTACAAATGTAACATATCCGTAGTTTACAGAAACAGACAATGCTTCTTTGGTTTGATTTTTCTTATTGCAGGGAGTGGGTATTCGTAGAAACTGGACTAGCGTTTGTTTTTGGAATGATAGGCTGTCAGAGAAATGGTCTTTCCATTCAATAGAACATTTTCAGGACTTCGGATTTCACTGCACATAGCAACTTCTCAGATTATCCACTGTTTTTTGTTTTTATGTTTTTTTAATTTTCAATCTTCTGCTGGAAGAAAAACAATATACAGCCACCTAGTGGTATCATAAGTAGGACACTGCATTTCATGAAGGCCCTGCAGTGTGGTTTTGGAAGCAAAAAGTGAGAACACCACACTCAGAGCTCCTGGTGTGCTGTGGGTGTTTCATTGAGGTTAATTAGTTAATTACTTTCAGGTTAGTGCAGTGACATACTGTCTTGGTCTTGATTATATATAATGAAAACCAGGTATTACAAAGTAAAGGTTTTTACAAAGTGAAGCTGTTTGTAATTGTTTTATTCCAGTCTGTGGTACAAAATTGCAAAACATGTATCCAGGTGCCAGTTATTGCATTAGTTATCAGTGTACAAAAATTCAATTGCTCAATATGGTTTTAGTTTTTTTGTGTGATGTGGGGTCTAAGTTTTTAGTGTCACGTTTTTTCCCTTAGAGCTGGGAGTGTGTATAGAGTGGTGCAGGGATGATGTTTATTTGTTGGCTAACCAGGAAGTTAGCGTCATCCTGGTTCCCTTGACAAACAGCTAAAGGGATTTTTCCATTGGATTTTAGATTATTGCAGAAATGCAACTCTGTGGCAAACAAAAGTTTATGATACTTGCATGTTTTGTTCAGCAAGATCATCTTCACAAATTAACACCACTTTTATGACTTCTGAAGTGCAAATGCAATCGCCGGAAGTAAAAAAAACAAACAAACAAACTAATAATAGGCTATAAACGAACTACACCACGGTTACATGACTTCAGCCTCTCCATCACAACAAAACATGTAAAAGCTTAAAAATTAATCAATGGAGGGTATTAACTGATTTATGTTGTAGAGCAAAAAGTGAAAGTCTCTGAAGCTTGTGTTAACCACAGACCTTATTTTAGGCAGCTAAAAAAAAATAAAAAAAAAAACATTCAAAACACCCACTGACTTCGAGACAAGGGATCTGGGAGTGCTAAAATGCTGACTCATTTTTAGAACTCGTGCCTGCACCACTGTATCATAGTAGGATTTTAATTTTTCACGAGTGCCTGAAGGAAATCAAGAAAAGCGTACAAGTAAAGACAAAAGAAATTAAATCAAACTAAAATTCAAGTAAGCACACTGTGTCCACTCCTGTCGAGTCTCGAGAAAAGAAGCTACCATGAAGTACAAGACGATACAGCACATTAACTCCTGAGAACATATACAGTACTCTGCACAGCCAAACAGCACAGGAGGTCTGTTAATGTGGTTTCCAGTCTTGCTGAGAGTAGGTCCAACCCTGCCCGACCAGAACCAAACATGCTGCCTCATACATTCCTAACAGGGCTGGAGGGGAGGGGGGGAGTCAGAGGAGGTGAGGCAGGTGTATGGCTGGCAAAGGAGAAGGAAAGAGTGAGGGAAGGGGAGAAAAGAAAGGGGGTACAGAAAGAGAGATTTTCTTGTTTTCAATTCCATTTTTGTTGTGGCAGCGTTATGAATTTACAGTCAAAGCATCTTGAATTTGGTTTGAAAGGAGAACAAGGAAAAAGTCATATTGACTTGTTCTTTCTGTAGCCAGTTTGCCCTTTTTCATTTATTTTTGCTTGCTTTGATTAATTGTCTGAAATGTTTCTGCTGGACTTATTCCTGTTTTTACACCAACACTAGTAGCAGACACATAAACATATTGAATATACAGCAACTGGATACTTAATTAGGAAGGCAGTGGTGTTGGTTAGTAGTAACAGCTGTTAATTTATTCTAGTTAACTTACTTTTATTCACAGGCAATGCTGTTTATGTAACTTTTATACTGATAAGGCCAAAGGTATGGAAAGTCCTGTTCATATATCTCTGTGTACTTTTGGTTTGGTTTCTCTTAATTCCAGTTAAGCTGAAGTGTTGATGCTACAGCATACAATGGTTTCTCAGAAAATTTTCTGCTTCTAACTTTGTGTTAACAGTTTTTCTGTCAACAAAACAAATACCCCACACACAAACACCATGATATGGCCAGTAGTAATTTGTAAATTCATTGCTAACTTTGAAGTGATTTACCAGATCAGGTTGCACCATGAAAACTTTAGTTTTGATACAGTTGGTATTTGTAGGAATGCCCAAAAATATCAAGTCCTTTTACAACAATGGGGAAAGTAAAGCATTTGCTACCATGCTGAAGAGTAAGAGTTACTGTGTGGCTTTTTTGCATGTCAAACAAACTTAAAACCCCAGAGTTAGAGGGTATTTTTTAATCCGGACTCTATTTTCCTATGTTTTTGTGTCTATGTGACTGATTAGATCAACATGTTTTAAATTGGTCCAGTATAGAGCAGGGGCAGAAGCCAGGCTGCAACAAAAACACCCAGGGCATGTTTGTACCATCAATTAAAAGTGCTTATTTTTGCCACTGAGAGGCTCCAATTGTTTATTTAGGTGTCTGACAACACCGTTGAAAGGTTCCCTACAGAGATAGACCTTTCTTGTAAAAGAGTAGGATCTTTTTTGTCAAACAGCCCCAAAATTGCTTTCGTCAAACCCACCAAATTCCATTTAAATAAACAGTAATTTTATCATCATTAAGCACTCTTCATTCAGAGTTGACAGACACTAAATAAGACTCACAAAAAACTTCTTGGTTAGTCTTTCCACTTTTCTACCAATTACCAATTGTGGTTTGGTTGTAATAAACCCCTTAATTCACCCAGTAGGATGTAAGAATATGCGGGCTCTATACAAGCTTAAATTACACTTTATTTAAATGGAGTTTGGTAGGGCTTGGCGATGGCAATTTCAGGGCTGTTTCAGGTTAAACAGAAAGGATGTAACCCTCTATCCAAACAGTGTTAGATTGTTAGCCACTGGTAGTTTTTTAGGTTCCAAATCTCAGTGTTGAGTAAAGTTAGTGCTACTATAGTGTCTCCAAATGAGCATGGTATTCTGATGGTAGGGTAAGTTTAATCAACCATATCTATGATAAATATAGTAGTTAGGGGTGTAACAGTACACAGAAATCTCAGTTCGGTACGTACCTCGGTACACAAGTCACGGTTCGGTTTTTTTCGGTACAGTGATGAAAAAAATAGACAACTATTAAATATCTTTTACCTATTGGTAACCTTATTAAAACATACCACCACAGCAGTTAACTCTTTTTACACAATTTTTGAATGAAACAAATA